AGCTGAGCCAACTAAAATTCAGCCTGTGAGCAGTTCCAACAATGACCCCTCCTGCAGGTGGGCAGCTCTGTGCCAATAGCCCTGCTGTCTGTGGTTCTCAGCCCTGGCTGCACATTAGCATCACCTGTGCTTGGGGGAAGGCGAAGGGAGATAGAAAAATACCCAGGGATTCTGATTTAACTTGCCTGAGCTGGGGCCTGGGCATAGTCGTTAAACTCCCCAGATGATTCTCACGTGCAGCCAGTGTTGAGAACCCTTGCTAAGGGTAACTACAGAGTATTTCACGCGGGGTACGTTTTCTTCACGGATCAGCTGTCTGTTTCCATCCTGGGGCCATGGACAATTTGGAAAGGGTTTTCGTGTGTGTGTGTGCGCGTGCGTGTGTGTGTTTAAAATGCGTTTTCACACAGCCTCCCAGAACTGGACTTGGAAACATGAATGTCACTAAGGACTCCTCCCTCTTCCATCTTTACCCGCCACATTCAGTCAGTCCCCAGATTTGCTCTTTTCTTACATTCCTCTTCTGTCTGCCCCCTTCCTCCCTGACTTAGCACATCACGTTCTGCCTGGACATTCTAGCACAGTGGTTCTCAACCTTGGCTGCACATTAGAATCACCTGGGAATCTTTTTAAAATCCTGATTTCTGGGCCTCATATTAGAATCACCTGGAAAAAAGATTCCCAGGTGATTCTAATGTGCAACCAAGATTGGGAGGATGAAGCCCAGAAATCAGGATTTTAAAAAGATTCCCAGGTGATTCTAATGTGCAGCCAAGGTTGAGAACCACTGTTCTAGTGCCTCCTAACTGCTCTTTCTGATGGTCTGACCCCACTCCTCCACCCTCTCCTCTGCCATGAGAGGGCCTTCCCACAATTTTGGGTGAGAACTTGTCTTTGCCCATCCATCATGGCATGTCCACTGGTGGTTTGCCTCAGAGACCTTGTTAATTCTGGCATTGGCCTATAGGATACAAAGGCTAAACTCAGCCTCTTAAAAGAGAAAACAATTAGCTGAAAAATCAGATTTTTTTTTTAAAATTCTTTACTGTTTAAAGTATTACATATGGTATTACATATGTCTCTTTTTCCACCCATTGACCTCTCCCCGGCCACCCCCACACATGCATATAAGCATAACCAATGGACACAGATTGTTTTCTTAAGACCAAACTGAGGCCCAATCTGCTCTGAGTGGAGCTGGGCTCTTCCAATAACCGATACTTGTCTTCGCTGGAGGAGGAGAGCAATGTGTTGTTGGGCACAGTTAGAGCTACCTGTAATGTTGGACAAGTGCTTTCCAGAGCTGGGAGCAGTCCATGTGGATGAGGGGGACCCATTTTGCCCCGCCTCCCAAGTTAAAGCATGCATCCACCTGGATTTTGAGTATATTTTGTAATTGTGCCAAATGTGTTTTCATTGAGAAATCTCTCATTTCTGAATCCCTAGCCACTGGAAAGAGACATCAGACACTTGATGCTGTTTCCAGTGACCTAGAATCGCTTAGCGTAGTAGAAATAAAGGGCAAGGAGAGAAACTAATGGCGTGTGGAGTAAAGAAACCTGACCAAATAGGACAGAACAAATAGGACAGATACCTTGGGAAGAGATTGAAAACAATGTCCTCTTACAAATGCATGAAATTACTATTGTTATTTAAAGTAATGATCTGACAGGAATGTGTGGGCCCTATTTGGGTTCTTATTCAAACAAACAAACAAAAAAGAAAAAAATATTTTTGAGACAATTGGCAGTTTGATATTTTGATGATATTTAGGAATTCTTATATTTTTAGTTGTGGCAATGGTCTTGCAATGTTAAAAGATTCATATCTTTTAGAAGCACATAATGAAATATTTATGGATGGAATGATATGATATCTGGGTTTGTTTCAGGATAACACGAGAGAGAGGAAGTGGATAGGAGTAGTGTTGAAGCAGATTGGCCATGAGTCAGTAATTGTTGAAATTGAGTGATGAGTACATAGAGGTTCATTATACTATTCTACTTGCATGTGTTTGAATTTCTCCATAATAAAAAGTTTTTTAAAAGCACATGATGTTTTTATTACTAAAAATTGTGATAATTTTTACCTAAAATTGGTGGTCTGCATTAGCTTGAAGCGGCTTGTGGATGCTGAACTTTGAGAAATGCTGCCTGAATGGTATGAGATCTTAAATAGAGGGAACACCCAGTTCCTAAGGCATTTCACAAAGACTAGGATAGAAGAAAAGAACCACGGGTAGGTGAAGCTGTTCTCTAGATGTTCTTCACAGAGGTCTTCCTTGTGTGTTCTGTTGGCTGTATTTCCTGGGTAGAGGTTAGCATGGGAGTAGAGAGACCAAAGACATCAGCTTCGAGTTTCTCCTGGGGTATAAATAAACGATACTAGAATGGGTTTGGGATGCATTAGAATGACGCACTGTGGTTTGAGAAAATACCTGTCAATCTACTTCCTGGTAGAATTTGCAATGTTTGTACATCTACACAAAGAAGGAAATTGGATCACCGAAGAACTTAGCACATGAACAAACTTTAGTTCAAGGAATTGCTTTCAACTGTTTATGCTTTTAAATTAAATTTCAACTGCTTATACGTTTATGTCTATATTAAGGAATTGCATTGAAAGAGGCGAGGAGACTCAGCCCTATAAAAATTTCAGTTGCATCTGTTGCAGAAATACCCCATGGGCTCCCCACTGCTCTGCAGGGTGTGCTTCTTGGTTTGGCACACAGAGCCTGATAGCCTGGGTTTGACTCTCCTGTCTACAATTGACTAACTCTGTATGGTCTTGGGAAAATTACTAACTTGCTCTAAAATTCTCAGATTCCTTTTCTGTAAATGAACATCATAATAGTGTCCACCCCCCCACAATTGCCAGGATCAAATGAGAAAATGTCAGAAGAGCATTTAATCAGTCCCTTGCCCACACGCCCAGCAAGTAAGAAATACGATCACTCACCTCCATCTGGTCTCGGCATTAGAAAGGTGGATCTTTTCCTGACTTATCAGTAGATGTGCACCTTCTGCCTCTCAGTTCTTCTCTTTTCTGTGGCTCCTAGGACTCTTGGCTCCAAATTTGCAGCCCACTCGTAGTAACTGAGCAA